AACTCAGATTTTTTTTAAAAAAAAGCCTCCCTACTCGCTAAAGTATCTCATTACGGTGTAAAAGTGGTCAACACTCAAGATAAAATGTTGATTTTCAAGACACCCTAATTCAGTTAAAGCCTTGCCAAGTGCTTCTGTCAGAAGAAAAACTGAGTTAGTAATCTCTCCGGGAAATAGAACGAAAACCAGGATCACTAGCAGGCTAACCATCAGACGATGCAGCATTAGTCAAAGCAATTACGGGAAAATTCAAATGCATAGCTGGGGAACCAAACTAAGACGCTCCTAGTAGCACTCGTATGAATGAAAAATCAAGATGCATCGCATACACACACACACGTACACACACAAGCACATACACACACTCATACACACAAGCACATACACACAAGCAAACACCCACACAGAATATGCGTTTTGTACTGCTGTTACACAGCATAAAACGTATAAAAAACCAATTTTGATCACTACAGACCTGTTCGAAATCGTTTACCCCGAGCAAACATTGAATCCATGAGGGTTTTCATATCATGCTCCACATAATCCATCACTAGATAAATTTTATCCATATTTGAGCCGATTACTATTTCCTGAAATGATTCGTTTTCGCAATGTTCATAAGGACACTTTAACAATGTGCATAAGCAAATTTGAAACTCCAAGAACAGCTGCTACTGGATGTCTTCTCTTCATCGACAGAAAGTTCAGTTATGGCAATAAGTTAAAATGTATGCGACTTAATGGACTGAAATTTCTTAATTTCGGCTAAATTTACTGTTTTTTAATAAAAGCTCTGGATTTTAATTTTTTAAATTTCCAAAATATCTCACTGTTAAACAAATATTTACTCTCTAACAACGTCTACGACTGTATTTATACCTAAAAAATAAGAAGATAAGTGAAAAAAATATTTTAAAAGAACTAATAAAATGCTGAAAAAAATTTTTTTAAGTGGTAAAAAATGTTTCGGTTCATTAAGTCGTATACATTTCTTACCATTACCACAATTGGACCTCGTCAGTGCGACGATTGTTGTAATTAGTATGAATTTAATTAAAATTTAAATTGTTTTATTAGAAAGGGATAGGTAAAGTAATAATAAGTGAACAATAAAGAGAAAGAGTGAGTGAAGTTGATGTATAAAAAAAAAAGAAAAAATCAGCATCTAATATTAGACAAATACGGTTCTCAAGGCGCTTACCCGAACGTTTACAATATTCGGATGGTCACCGGCTTTCAAAAGCATGTTTATTTCACGAAGTGACGTTATTGGAAAGCCTTCTTTTTCTTTCTCCATT